AAAAAAAAAACGAGCCCCATTGTTTATATGCAATTGTTTACCTCAAGTATTTCCTTTGTAACCTGTAACGAATTTGTCGCGAACTACATTTCATCCTATCAACAGTGCCTCACACCTGGTGCATCCAAGTTGACATCCATATGAATCTGAACATCACATTTAACATATTTTTACATATACAAGAAAAAGAAAACATGTCATTTTTTTCTTATTTTATAGTTACCTTTATATGATCAATGCCTGGTTCCAAAAAAATTTCTTCAGCCATTTCTTTCCATTTTCTTGGCACTTGAAGGACATCTCGAGCTACTACACCAATTTGACTTGAGAGCTTTGCAGATTGCTCTCGACTTTTGGGCCGTCCTATCATTGGATCCACATCTACCTTCAACTTCTTTCCAGAGGCATCAAATGCTTTCATAACTCCCTTACCCATTGTTTGACCACGTCTTCTCTTAGGGACGGATGCTTTGTCTGGTAACAAAGAACATTACATTTTATTAATCGAGGCTAATTCCTTACAATTATTTCATTCAAAGTTTTTAAGATTCTAACTCATTTATAAACCAGAATACGATTAAGCAACATTGACAGACAAATAAGTTGACCAAATGCGACAGTCCAAAATAAATTCATAGTTTTTTCTACTAATCTGCCTACACAAATATTTCCAAGAAGGCATGAAGTTAATTATATTCCTTGTTCATTAACAGCATGCACAAGCATAGCTGCAACATGCACCAGCTACAGCATGCACAACAAAAGAATCAACAAGTCACAACATGCATAATAAGTTTGATTACAGCATGTCTCTACTACCATGACAAGACTCTTCATACACAAATAAAATCCCAATGGACATTCATCTAATTATGTTAAAATAAAATCCCTCAGGTTATAAATCTTTATTATTGGCATCAGTAAGTGAAAAAAAAAAATCCTAAAATATGCATGTTTTTGCTACACATAAGAACATGTAATGTAAACTAGACTCGGTCAGTTACAACTATTCATATCAGTAAGAACCGACACCACATAATGGCTAGCAAAACCATTGTTAAGGACTATATAATTGAAAAACAGAAACATGTATTAAAAAACAAAATACGGAATAACCTAAGCAAAAATTTGTATGATGAGCAGAAATCCAAATTTTTTTAACAGGGAAAGTCGGGGTCACTCGCACGAGACTCAGTGAGTGCCAAATCACCCATCAAATACTTGCCAAGCAGACCCCATTGCCCTTTTCCATGGTTTTTTTTTATTATACCATCTTCTTTTAGGTGTAATTAATCAGCTCATGATCATCTCCCCAACTTTGGTTTAAGCTTTCAAAATGAATCTTAATTGGTACAAGGTCAAAAGATTTATCCTTTCCATCTCTCTTAAGTTCTATCACATTTGACAACACAAAACTAGTTACAGGGAATAAGCATAAACCGATTAAAATTATTTTTTCCTGATTTTGGCTTTTAGAAAACAATATTCCAAAGCAGTTCTTAGTTTAAACATCATCGCGTATCAGCTATCACAATAAGATGCTCTGCAAATATATCCCTGGTAAATATGGATTACACGTTAACAAATACCGACAATTATTATTAGAAAAGAAAAAAAAAAAATCAAGAATGCACAACAATAAGAATTAAGAACATATTGTCGGTATTCCAACAGTTATCCTAAGTAAGAAACATATTGTACCTTTGATTGATGTATCCTGAAGGTTACCAGCTTCAGCTGCATTCAAATTCTGATTTTGGTTGGAATCTTCAAGGGTTTGGGGAATGCCACTCTCATTAGTGTGATTTGTTGTAGTATTATCACCTTCTCCAGAAGAACCATGATCAACTTCAATAGTTCGACTTGCTCCTGTCACTTCAACTCCTGCAGTTTCAACTCCAGCAGATGGCACATTTGATGACACATTTAATTGGTTAAGACGTTCTCTGACTCCAATACGAGCCGACGCAGTAGTTGAGCTATCCTTGGCAGCTTGGTTAACCATGCTTTGTAGATAAGCTTTTGAAATAATTCTAGGTTTACGAATTCCTGGCACCATTCGTAGAAATCTACATAAGACAACAAAAATTTTATCAATGCAAACCAAATTTTGAAGAGCTAAGAAATACATAATCATTTTAATAAAAATGCCTACTTGTTGAAAAAAGAACACATATAGTTAAATTACGCATTCCAATAGTGACTATACATGTTATGACTCAATATATATATATATATATATATACATATAGTTCTTAGGATTCCCTAAACTCTAGTCTACCATCAGCTATTGAGAAAATAACACATGTAGAATTAATAATAAATAAAATATTACACCTTCTGTTGACTTCTATTTATGAAAGATGAGAAAAACTCTGTAAAACACAAATTTAGGTTGAAAAGATAAAAAAACTTCATCACCAGAAAAAAATAGAATCAGAATATGAAAAAAAAAAAAAAAAAA